AAGGTTGAACCTAAACATGTAAGATAGATGCAAGATTTTTCAATTTTCAATCAAGGCATTCTAATATGATGCGGGCCCTTTTAAGAAAAGCTTTAGCAGAGAAGTCTTTACCTAATAATTATGGGTAAACTTTTACTAGATAAGATTCAAATCAATAAATACTACAAGCATATTACTTCCAAACAGAATGTGGGGAAAACATCTGACCTTGATCAGAGTGGGTTTGTCTTTGACAGCCTTTGCTTCCTTGATTGCAGCACGAATTTCATCATAGCCAGTGTTTCCATTCTTTACCCAGATAACATGCCACCCTAGCCCCTCAAAACGTGTATCAACATTCTCGGTAAAGGCAATTTCGGTATCACCATCAATTGAAATGTGGTTGTCATCATAGAAAGCTATAAGCTTCCCAAGTCCCCAGTGTCCGGCAAGCGAACACACTTCATTTGATATACCCTCCATTTGACAACCATCTCCCAAGATAACATATCTAAGAAAACAAAGGTCAATATACCACAACGAGATTGAGCACGCAAACAATAGAAAGAATTGGACATAGCGAAGGAATCATACGTGTAGTGATCAACAATCTCATTGTCTGGCTTGTTGAATCTAGCAGCCAAGTGTTTCTCAGCAAGAGCCAATCCAACAGCATTTGCAATACCTTGACCAAGTGGCCCTGGGAAAAAACACATTTATATACATATATTTGCTTTATTTTTAATACGACAATTTTGTTGATAAAAACAATTGGAATCACTTAAGCAAAAGAATCTAACTAACCAGTTGTTACTTCAACTCCAGGTGTTTCAAAGTTCTCCGGATGTCCAGGGGTCCTGCTTCCCCACTGACGGAAATTCTTCAAATCTTCTTCCTAGAGAATAAACCAGTCATTATAAATGTTAGTCATTTCGTGTAAGAAATCATCTCTTTTATAAAAAGGAAACAAGGATCCAAATTTCAAAGCTCTCAAAATAGAATTTCAAAGAAGCTTACCTTGACACTGTCGTAACCAGCGAGGTGAAGCAGGGCATACTGCAACATACAGCCGTGGCCCGCGGACAACACGAAACGGTCACGGTTGAACCAGTAAGGATTCTTGGGGTTATACCTCATGACCTCATCGTACAAAATGTGGCCCATCGGAGCGCAGCCCATGGGCAACCCGGGGTGCCCTGAATTCGCCTTCTCGACAGCATCAATAGACAAGAATCTGATCGTGTTGATCGATTTCTCCACCAGGGAAGTCTCGGCGGCGGTGCCGATTGTCTCGACGGCGGCAGCACGGACTTGGAGCTTCTGGGTGGAGCGGGAGGGGAGGCGTAGCCGGGAAGAGGAAGCACGTGGGATGGTGGATTGGAGGCCGGCGAAGGTGGGAAAGGAGAGTGCGGAGAGAGAGACGCGGTGGTCGGAGGATGACGGCGATCCATGCGAGGAGATGGCGTGAGAAAGGAGCGCTTGAGATAGGGTTAGTGAAGAAGAAGAGGCCATTTTTAACTGAGCGGAGCAAAGTGGAGGGTGAGGTTGTTAAAGGGGACCCCTCGTTTGATAATGTAGAGAAATAGCCACCAACTCTCATTGATCTTCTTGTCTAGCTGACCGTTAGATTCGAATATGGATTCATCTCCACCATTGATTTTGGGTAACAATTTCATACTGCTCTATCCGCCTCTCATTTCTTTTTCTTTCTCCTTTTTTCTTTAAAAATAATTCTTTTGTAAATATGTTCTAGTTAAATAAATTAATAATATTTTGAGCTTTTTATACCTTTAGGTCCCTTTAGGAAAAATTAGGTAAAACAATAAGGGTGAACCATGGAGGGTTAGATATCACTGGATTTTGTATATCGACTTGTATTATTGAGTTTTAATTTTATATTCAATTATGTTATTTTGTCGTTAAATTAGAAACATGATGATGACATGGTTAATGATTATTAATGTGTCATGCTACACTACAACAACGTTGTTTTGATGCATAAAACGACTCGTTTGAGACGCTGAATTTTATGAGTGTATTGATTTTACCATTAAACTTTTAAACGTTTTACTTTTCTGGTATTACACTTTTTGATCGTAATCGAAAATTAAACGTCACTCGTCATTGATTGTATTCCACGGTAAAATTGGTACTAAAACGTTCGTATTTCACTTCTCCTCATTCTCCTAGGATTAATTTTCCATAAAATCCACTCTTCAAAATCAATAAAATGAAACAAAAAGGCTGCTATTTTTAGATGTTAGGAGGATTTCTTATATTTATGAGATTTGTGGTGTTTGTATGAAATTTTGAACAATGAAAAGCATTATTTCAAGAAGACGAACAACATACTTGAAATTTAGTCTTGTGGGATGATCATTAAAAGAAATCAAAGTATTAATACGTCAAACTTTTAAATAGATTTTCATAGATTTTGATTGGGTTTTGTGGAAAACTAATCTTATTATAAGAAAAAAGTGAAATGAAAATATTTTGACACTAATCTTATCGCGAAAGATGACCGATGGCGAACGATGATTGGTAATAAATGACGATCGAAAAACGCGGTCAAAGTATTAATATGTTGAACTTTCAAATAGATTCAACGTTCAAGTAATCAAAAACATAATAAAAAGAGAAAATAATCAAAACTTAAGTTTTTTTGAATTTAGTGAGTAAAATTATATAAATATAAAAGATAAGTGATAATTACCGAAGTTTACCCTAAGGATGCGTTTGGTTCACGGAATATAAGATTACCAGTGTGAATGTAAGATTACCAGGGAATAGTATTACTGAAATGTTGTATTTTGTGTTTAGTTGGTTTAGCAGGAATGTAAGATTACCGTGTTTGGTTAAAGGAATAAAAGATTATTGGAATGTATATTTGACCAAATTGTCCTTATTATATATTTGTTTTTTTAACAAGTTGGAAAATATTTATATATTTTCTTTAAAAAATTTAAATTCATAAAATTTATATACTTTTTTTAGAAAATGAAAATATAAAAAGGTTTAATGAAATGATAAAATTTTATTTTAATCCCTGAACTTCATATAAAATTTTAATTATAGGTTTCTTTGTAAATCTAAAATAGTTTAAGGATAAATTTATAATTTAACATTCGTAGAATTTTTATTATTCAATGACAGAAAAATGATATTTTTGAAAAAAAATGAAAGGCATTTTAGTCCAAAACGCCGATAATCAAATAATACCTAAGGAAATGGAGGTAATGACATTCTTAGTAATATACCCCAAAAAAATTCACTATTGGTAATCTTACATTACCAGAAATGAAATTCCCAACTAACCAAACGGAAGAATGTGGATTTCATTCCCATGTGAATATCATATTCCCCATCCAAACGCTCCCTAAATAATTTAATTCGTGAAAATATCTTGTAAGTTGTAACCTCGATTAATTAATATAAATTATCTTTAAGATTGTAGAAATACATTTTTTTAATAAATTAAAATACCAAGAAATATAAAATCAGGTACAACTACAAACTTCATATTAAGAACTAGCTAAATATTTAATAAAATAATATAATTAAATTTTAAATGGATAAATTACACGCTTACTTATTAAATTTTATTATTCGTCATATTTTATTTATCGTACTTTCAATTTTTTTAATTTACTCACTCAATTCTAAACATTGAATTTTTTTATCACTTAACCAATTAATTCTTAACTCCATCGTGACATGATATTTTTTAATTAATTTCTTAATTAATATTTTATTAATATTATTTATATTTTTTTCATAATCCTAAACCCAATTCACTTTTCTCACTCTCACCCTCAAATTTCTCTCCGTCGTCTTCTCTTCTCCCTTCTAATCTCTCCACCATCTTCTCTTTTCCCTTCTAATCTCTTCACCATTCGACGTAAATAGCCAAACTAGTACACCATTTTAAGTGAAAGAAGATAAACTCATGGGGATTAAAGCAAGAAAAAGGAAATGGGGTATGTTTTTCCTGTATTTAAGATGATTCCTGTTCTTTTTCTGGAATTTTGGCTTTGAACTGATTCACAGAGTTTGGATCAAATGCTCAGCTTTTGTCAGAAAGGTATGCAAACACCTGACAAACTTCTTTAAAACTTCCTTTTAAGTTTTTTTTTTTTGCATTTCTCCCTTTGATGTAACTTTTGAAGTTGATGTACTCTGTTGGTTCCTGAGAATTCGAGGGAAAATACATAACAAAATTCTGAGGGTTTGGGTGCTTTTCCTTTTTGAATGAATTTGCTCTGTTTTCTCATAGAGGATCACCTCTGTTTGGTTTTTGGAATAGTTCAAATGAGTTCATGAAAGTTGAAACTTTATTTCCAATTTCCTTTGTTACTGTGTTCTTTCTACACAAAATTCATTTAAAAAAAACATTTATTTTCAGTTCTTCTTCACTTTTTTTTTTTACTTTTTTCATATGGTTTTACTTATTTGTATTTTTTGCTTAAAGGGATTACCTCTGATCTGTTTGGTTACTGGAAAAATGAAGAAAAAAAGATGGTGGAGAGATTAGAAAGGAGAAGATAAGACAGTTGAGAGAAGATTGGGTTGGGGATATTAAAAAAATTATAAATAATATAAAAAAATATTAATTAATTAAAAAATTAATAAAAAAAAGTCAAGTCATGATGGTATTAAGAAATAAACGGTGAAATGATTAAAATAAAGTTTAATGTCTTCCGTGAATAAATTAAAAAAATTAAAAATAAAATGAGTAAATTAGAATAGAGTAAAATTTAGTGAATAGTCGTGTAATTTATTCATATTAAAATATGCTGAACAGTAAATCAAATACGGAATTCATAATTCATCTTTTAAAATTTGACATAATTTTTTTTAATAAAAATCCTTATTAGATTAAAATAAAAATAAAAAATTTAGTTAGGATCATAAAATATATTTTTAATAAAAATATTTTTATGTAAATATTATTTTAGCATAATAAAAAGGTAATTGGGCCTCAATCTCGATACGGTCCATTTATGGGTCAAGAGATATTTGGAAGGAAGTAAAGGCCTTACCCAATATGCTTTCAAAGTTCGACGGTTCAAATGCAAAGTAACCATAGAAGAAGATCTTCGTCCCCAGAGAAACCGAAAAGCGAAATAGAAGATCGAAAACCAAAATCGAAGGCGAAATAGAAATAGAAATTTTATAGAGAAAGGGAAGCAAGTAGCTTCCAACACTTAGCAGCATTTTCCTTTTTGAATACTGTAATTGACCCAGGGTTACTGACTGTAATACTGAACCAATCCCTATCGTTGGATCTACCTAAGAACTCAACGCGTTGTAAAGCAAAAGTTAAGAAACTACAGCGAGGGATCCGAATTTGAACGAAGAAGATTCAAAATGACGGATCCGAATCTGGATCTGCAAGAATCGGGTTGGGAGGAACTGAGGAGAGAGGCTCGAAAGATCGAGGGTGATCTCGATGTTAAGCTCTCTTCTTATGCTAAGCTCGGTGCCAGGTTCACCCAAGGAGGTTCGCTGCACTTTTACTGCTACCTTCTCCATTTTTATTATTTCTAGAATTCTGTTCTGAATGCTTGTTATTTTCGTATTATTCAGTTGCATTTTGATTTTCTTTTGGCAGATTACTGAATTCCGAGTAAATCTGTCTAAAAACTGAACAAACTCCACTGGTTTAATAGATTGGAATTTTTTTAATACCAGAGAACATCTTTTCGTTATTTGTTTTAAGGAATAAATAGCCTTAAGCATCTGGTCCGATTTCCTTTTTTTCTCTCCTGTGTGATGATATGTACTCACATTTAGCTTATCTAGATACTGGATCGCCAACGGTTGGGTCAAGTAGGTCATGGAAGTCTATGGAAATGGAAATTCAATCATCGCTTGAGAAGCTGCTGGACATAAATGATTCCATGAGTAGATGTGCTGCATCTGCTGCTTCAACTACTTCGGTGACCCAGAAGCTTGCAAGGCATAAAGACATACTACATGAATTTACTCAGGTTTATTTGTTGACTGTGCTGTAATTTTTATCTAGACTTGTTATTGGAAACCGGGTTTCTATGTATAATTATCGAGAATTTCATACATGCAATTTCATATAGTTCTCTAGAAGTCAGAGCTCGAACTCTTAACATAATCTGTTTTGCTGTTTATTTGTTTGTTTTCTACATGTGTACTTAAAGAGAAAAAAATTGTATGGACAAATGGGGATGCATAAACCCCTTATACATGAAAACTTTCTGGATGGATAACATGTGGTTTTCCATCATGTTGAAGTTTGCAGTTAGAGTTGTCCTTATCTCTTCTTTTCTTGAACTGTGAGAGAAGTGAAAGAAGAGTAGCACAAACACTGGTAGCAGTACAGACTGAGTTAATCCCCAAACTTTTTCATTCATTCTCAATTTTTGAAAGATAATAGATTTTTTGTTCACACATTTACGCTTCCGTATACCCAAAACCAATGGTTGCTGTAAGTTCATTTCCTACCCTCGTTCATTCCATTATAAGTGTATGTTCTCATGTTCCATGAAATTATCTTCAGTTACACTCTCATTGTCATCGGTTATAGATGGAACTAACCCCAAATGCATTCATTCACTCTCAATTTCTGCTTTTGGATTGTCATTGTCTTTATTTAATACTTTGGTTCATTGTACTTTGAATTGATGCACCACTTTTCCTTCATGGATTAGCCATTTGGACCAGTTGTTTAGCATTTTCATCCTTTTGAAGTATGGGTACATTTTTGTTAGGAGTTCAGAAGAATCAAGGGAAACATAAACTCAATGAGGGAACATGCAGAGCTTCTGAGTTCGGTCAGAGATGATATTAATGAGTATAAGGTAGTCATATGATTTAATTTCTTGGCTTTTTCGCTCCCATTGCTAATACTATGTAGTTTCCCAAAGTTTACCTATTTGCCACCATGCAGACATCTGGGAGTATGTCACCAAGAATGCAATTACTCAGAGAAAGAGCTGCCATCCACGGAAGCATTGCTCATGTAAGATTTAAATATTCTTTTATCAGTGTTTATCAAGGTACCTGCTTTGTTTAAAGACCTTCTCCATATGTTTTCTACAGCAATGTGTTCTATTTTGCAATTGTTTAATGGTTTTGGATTATATATGCGAAATCATACACGTTATAAACAGAACAAACAGGTGAACCTGTTGGTCATAAACCTAAAGCAAGTGCCTGGCATGTAGAACCCAAAAAAACTTAGTAGTTGAAATCGCCATTGTCATATATCCATTGTCTAGTCTCAAAATTCAAATCTATATTTCTAGAAGCCAACACGATGCTTTGACAACAACCATTTTTTATATGTGATACATGAACCTAGAATCAATCCCTTACAAATAATGCAAGTTTAAAATATATAAGCCTTAATAACTAGGCCACATTTCCAAGTTTGTCTACAACAATCATTTCTACAGCTAGAAGGTGTTCCATCAGATTTTGGTTGCTTAATGATGTTTACCCAATTACCTCTTGATCATCATTGCAAAATGCATCCTTGATTGCTTTCTTGCAATTAAAGGATCTGGTTTAAAATTCAAACACCACAGAAGTGACTTGTGTGTCTCATGAAAGTTGAATCTTCTTGGTGCTGTTAGTGTACATAGATTATTCATAGTTGGGAAGTGATGTGATCTTATTCATACCAGCAGTGAGACTGGATTTTATATTGTGAACTAATTATTTGCCCAAAAGAGAAAGAGTTGGTGTTGGACTACAAGGGGGGATGATGAATTCAGTTGAAGTCCAAAATTGGTTGCGAACAGATATGCTGATGAGAATTTTATGTTACATCTTCCTTATGCAAAAACAAAAACTTCTGCATGTTTGCATAAAGACTCAAACTAGCATCCTTCTTTGCTCATACATCTTTCTTTTTCTTCTCTAGCTATGCGTACAGTCTTTTAGGTACTTTAACTCCAATTTTAATGGATGAGATTGATGTGACATGCAGAATAAACTTTAGACTAACCGTTGGTTTCTAAATATATATATATATATATTGCTGTCTTTAATTTCTAGCTTTATTATTATTGGTTAGTTTTCTTCCCTATTTGTCAAGGGATTACTTACTTCCAATTTTCTAACCTGTATGTTTGCTTTCTATAGATAGATGATGTGATTAATCAAGCTCAAACGACAAGAGCAGTGTTGGGCTCTCAAAGAGCTTTGTTCGGAGATGTTCAAGGGAAAGTAAAAGTTCTAGGTGACAAGTTCCCTGTTATCCGTGGTTTGCTCGGTACGTCACGACACATCTTCATTACTGAGCTTTTATTCTGTATATGATCTTTTGTTATAATTAAGTAAAAATTTAAAATGCCTCTATTTTCTAGGTTCCATCGGAAGGAGGCGTTCGAGGGACACTCTTATTCTGTCAGCAGTAATAGCTGCTTGTACGTTGTTTCTTATCGTGTATTGGCTATCAAAGTAGCGAGATTTATAGTAATAATACAAAAATGTTAAAAGCTACTGTGTTCTGCCAAGAGATTTTTGGTTTATAATTTGATAGAACAGATCACATTCTGTGTTAAGTTTGTGGTTTTGGTAGCTTCTGTTTGGCGCCATTACATGGAAAAAATCTCATTTGTTTGATGTGCAAATCTGTTACATTGCTCCAATTCAGAGGCTTGGTGTAGTGAAGGAGTGGTGGGTAGCTTGTGGTGCTCCCATGTTGGGTCAGTTTCAGTTGTGGTCACTCTCACTCAGGGTCTGGTCTAAGGATCTTTTAGCTGTGCCTTGCTGCAAAGGGCATTGGTTGTTTAATTCCCGAGAATGCTTGTTTTTGGACTCGATCCGTTGTTATCAACACAGTGGCGAGGTAGCATAAGGGACAATCTCATATAAAGACATGATCCCATGTTGATTTTTCTTTCTTTTATAACTTTTAGCTTATTTTAACCCAATATTTTAACACAGTGACGAGATAGTATTTGTTTTTGATGACTTTTTAAACGTTAGTCGAGGAGGCCACTGCCCACTGCGGTCTGAGATGCTTTACACTGTGCAGTTCCAGTACGTACTACATCTACAAGCTGTGTTTTCACAGTGAAACTGTTCACTCTACTGCCTGCTATGCTATTCTCAATGCCAAGAGATGGATGCAATATACATTACAATTCATTCAATAGTTCATTTTTTTAAAGTCTATGCCCTACCCACTCCCTCCTACCAGGTCACAACACAAAATCACAGATAAAGAGTTCCCCTTTCCCATTGGCATTAGCATTGATTAATACTTGTTGGAGGATTTTCTGATGGTCCATGGATCGTGTTGTGGGGATTTTTTCCTTTGAAAATTTTAAGTTTCTATATAATTTAGATTATTTTTTATTGATAATTTATTTTTGCACTCATAAAATTTTATAAGTTTGTTCCTATAAAATTTTATGAGTTTATCGTCCTTATCATAAAATCTCCGTTTATGAGTACCCATAAGCCAATTGTTGTTTCACCATGGGTGATTTGCAATCCCCTTCAACCCTTAGGGTGCTGGTTCTATCCCCTTAGCGACATTCTTCATAAAGTTGAGATTTTCATTTTGTTATTTTGATCTTTAAAGTGTTTAAACTTTTCAATTGGGTTCTGTGACTATCCATTTAAATTAATCAGAGTGAAACACAATGATTCGGGATCTAAGTTGAATAATAGTAAATATGACATAATTTAAGGGCGCGTTCTCTTAATTAGAGACATTCATAAAATCTTGTTAAAGATCAAGATATAAAATATCAAGATAAAAGAACACACAGCAAAATACTCCAAGAATAATATACCTTTTAATTGTTGAGAACCTCGACCGTGCAATCAAAAATTCATGCAACAATACTAACATTTAAGAAAAGCTTCAAACAATTCATTTTGAATTATATATATGTAAAGAGAAAGAATTCTAGGTGTTTAATATCTTGTGTGATAAGAGATCTGAGAATATAAATATTGCAGGTTATAAAGCGTATTGGCATTCCATTTGAATAAAGAAAAGGGAAAGGGGGGTTAGAATATTTATGATTGATTGTTATACTTTGCAATTTGCATGTGGGGGTAGTAGTGGTCGACGCCCAAATATTCAGCGAGGAAAACTAGCAGCAGCCAACAGATCTCTCGTCATTTTCAGGTAAATTTTTTAGCTCACTTCCGTGCTGATTATAATATATTTCATTCCGTCATGCATATCTTGGCAAACCTATTTCAGGACGACATGAAAGACTAGCTTTTACATTATATACGTGAACAAAATTCTTCAGCTGTAAGCTAATTTTCCTTTTTTTTTTTTATAATTATTCCTCTCCTTAACGCAAGCAGTATAGTCAACAAGTCTCTCAACATTTTTTTCTTATCTTTTTTAGGTTATAAAGTACCAACAGCTAGCTATTGCTTGAATGTTCTTGAAGAATGGCGTATATATGACACAAATCCACCATGAAAGCGCTTGAATGCCTTACCACCTTCCCATACATAATTCGTAAATTATAAACTAATAAAATTTTGACGTATATACACTTAATTAAATAAAAAAGGTAAAATTTTAATTAATTTTTTAAATGTTTTAGAACATGGTATATCCATAATCTTCAAATATTTGATAGGAAGTTTTTGTCATCGTCTTACTTGATTGGTGGTATTAATTTTTTTGGACAATTAAACGAATAGGTAGCGGTGATTGAAAAAGAATAGATTACGAGAAAACTTTACCTGTTGTAGGATTTGCCTAGCATTTAAATAGGGTAGAATGATAGGGTTTGGGGGTAAATTAATGGCAGGGGGAGCTTTTCGACTTACTGTCTATCATGGCATCAAAATTCGAATTGAATGAGAAATAATGTTAAGATCATGAGGGCATTAAAAACACCTAAATATGTCCAACACCAAACGCTTAAAAGTACTCTACAAGTAAGTCGGCCATTGGTCTCTGATAGTTAAGTGGAAGGACGGTGAAGATCTCCTGGGTAGGATACTCCCAAATATATGTATGAGCCTTGAGTCTTATGTCCCACACTCAATTAGAATGAACCAAGATGTCGACATCTCTACACCTATGTCTCAACTATAATCAGTTTCGTTTCTGAAATTTTGATGGACTTAGGCAAACCAAAAAATTAGATATCTAATGAGAGAATTAAATTATAATTTGTATTTATATCTTCGGCAGCATTGCGTTTATCGTTATTACAGGCATAACAAATGATATTCTAATCACTGCATTTATCATGGTTGTGAATTTTTAATAGCATATACAATTGTGGACATAACGATTATAAATATCGCAATTTTGGACGATGTCGTTACCATTGCATAACAGTGGTTGTTGTGATTACAAATTGTTATTTAAGTAATTGTTTATAATAACAAGTGTTGAAAATTTTAAGAGTAGCTCCATAATAACAAGTATTAAAAAATGAGTTCCTAATAACACATATTAAAAATAATAATTTTTAAGAGTATGCTCATAATAATAAATATTTAAAAATTGAACCTCTAATAAAAGTACTGAAAAATTGGCCTCATAACAACAAATAAATATTAGAAAAAAATTGAATTTTAAAAGCATACCCTTATAAAAAAATATTGAAAAAAATTGGTCCCTTATAACAAGTATTGAAAAATTAGGCCTTTAATAACAAATTTTAGAAAAAAAAATTATAAGAGTAGGTCTATAATAATAAATATTAGAAAAATTAAGCACATAATAATAAATATTAGAAAAAAAATTTGAAGCCCTCATAATAAGTATTAAAAATAATAAGATCTTATAGCTGATATAAAATTATTTTTTACAAATATAATGCATTATAAAAATTATAGGTCTTGAGCAGATACCGCTCCTATCCAAACCCAAATACGACGCTGACTATAATACATAGTTACTACATGTATGTAAATATTTAACTTGTTAGATGCTTTTTTCGTTAAGGGGTAATTAAGTAGATGTGTCATATGTTTGATAGATGTATTAACCTATATTCATGTATTTTTAGGTAAATTCATGTATGACAGATTTATCTAAAACTTAAGTGTAAGAGATCATATTCCTCTGAATGAGAGATAAGAAAAGAGAGAGTCAACACTGTTGTGACTTTTATTGTGATAATTTATCGAGAGAATATACAAATTCATAATGGATGAGATATCTTTTGTTAATTATAACTTTATTTGATAGTGAAAGACAAGTTAATATTAAATTAGATATTTTAATAGCGGACAACTAGTAGAATATCAACCACTATATAACGATAACGATGCTTTCTGAAATAACTATTGTGGAAAATAACGATAATGAACTAGAATCACACCAATAGTGATGAATTGTGGTCGAAATTTAACGGATAGCAAACAATAACGACTTGCTATTTTCGTTATTGTTTCGTTACAGTAATATTAATAAAATAATCCATCAATTAAGTGTAACAATTAAAACTATTATGTTTTACAATAAGTTATGGGAATTTAAAAACACACACAGAACCTCCTTAGAACCTCCTTAGAATTAGTGGGGCCTTAACCCCCTAAAATATTAAAAAATATATAATTATTAAATATTATATACATAATAAATTATTAAATTTGGTTGTTCCAAAAAATATGTAAATTATTTTAAAATTTAGAAACAACCTAAATATCATTAGAAAGAGTTAACATCTATTTTTTATTATTTTATTTTTAAATAAATAAAATATATATTTTTGTTATTTTTATTTTAAGATACAAATTTTTTTTTTGTATTTTTTTTATGTTTGGTTCTACATCTTCTTTGAGTTGAGGACTTCAATTAAGTTATCAAGTATTTCATCTCAGTTGAAGGTAATTTTTTTAAAATATTTTTAATTCAATTAATATTTATAATTTTATTTAAAATGTATATATTTATTATGTTTCATCTCTAAAATTAAAAAATAGACACAAATTTATATATATATATATATATATAATATCTCAAAATATCTTGATTATATAAATATAAATTTAAAATTTATTAAATTGTTATTTTATGTGAAATTATTATGAAATTAAATTAATATATTTTTATGGTTATATGTTATAAGTTGCGTGAAATCATGGGCAAACGAAAAAATTAGATGAATTTTGTTTCTTTAATTTTTTTATATGAACAAATAAATTTTAAATTTTATAAAAATTTTATTAGTATGATTTTTTATATAATTTATATTAGTAAAAGTGTTAAAATATTTTGATCAATATATATAATTTTTTTAAAATGTCCCCACCCCAAAGTTAATGTTGAGTTCCGCCACTGACGATCGTGATACCCACAATGACTATAATAACATCATCTATATATGTAATTTTGATAAATACAACACAATTGAAAATGCAATCACAATCATAATTTAAAACCCGGCACAACTTGCTCTGAATTATCGTACTACGATTTTTACCGATTTAAGTTTTTCGTGGGACCAAATTTATTGTGTAATTTATTATTTTTATTATTATTTTACTTTAATACATATTTTAATCACAAACGAGAAATGGATTTTGAGCTACAATTCTATCATTTGCCTAGCACAAGTACGCTTCTAATCTTAATTAAGCCACAATAAATTAAAGAGCTGATTGGTTCGTAAGGCACGCATGACATAAGTCCCAACAGAACCTGCTTCTGCCTGATTTGCATGCCAACGGTGCTCCAATGGCATTTATATACCGAA